AAGGGCTGGATGGACCGGGTGCTCACACTGGGCTTTGCCTTCACCCACGAGAAGCGCTACAGCCAGGGAATCTTCAAGGTAACAAAGCAAATCAAGAGGTTTGCCTTATTGTTAAGCTATCTCTCCTTGCTTACGGTAGATCTTGTCTTTTTCCACAGGACAAGAAGGCCATGCTCTCCTTCACCACTGGGTCTCAGGAGTCCATGTTCAGTGCAAATGGCATTAATGGAGACATGAATGTCACTCTTTGGCCACTGCAGGTATTTTATTTCGACGAATGATTATCAAAAAGCTGTTCCAGAGGAAACTTATTTATTGTGTGCATCAACACCCTTTTTTTTCTTTTTCTCCAGAATGGTATCCTGCACTACTGTGGCTTCCAGGTTCTGGCTCCTCAGATCTTCTGGGCCCCGTCTCACGTTCCCTCTGAGGCACGTGGTACCATGCTGGAGGGCTGGCGCACACGCATGCAAGGCCTCCTGGGAGAAAACCCACTTGCTTTCACTCCCTTGGACTGCTTTGATGGGGAGAAGGGTTACCAGCTGAAGCCTGAGGTCCATGAGAAACATGCCGCCAAGGAGTTTGGACTGACCGTGGGTATCCACCTGGGCAAAGCCCTGCCACCCAATAACCAGATGAAAGCTGGAGTCTGAAGAGTGAATGACTGTTGGTGTTTTTATGATGATAAATAAAAGCTGGTTAATATGTTCTGAATTTCTGTTGAATACTTGGAAACTGTATTGTAGTTCAACTGGCTGGGGTTTGCATATACAATAAATGGAGCCAATAAATCAAGTAAGGGACTTCTTGTACTTCTCAGCATTGTACATTTATTTATGTAACACTTTGACTCATTCAGCTTTAATGGCAATGCACACAAGATGTCGCTATGGCAACCCGTAGTATACAATCTTCTTTAGGCTTACCAATGTTAAGTATTGTGACACGATGTCCATCAAATTCCTGTAGGGAAAGATTTCACTGATTGCTAAACTTGGAACCAAGTTGACTATTCACGGAAGTTTCTCAAGTTAACTTCTGTGGTCAGGAGACTTGACAACATTAATCTGTAACCCTTCATTTCAAACACTTCATTTCTGTTAACCCTGTCATTTTGATCTAATCCTCACATCACCAAACTATTATGCTTTGATCTTAGGTGCCTATAACTTTCCAAATATGCATCTTCTTAAAATGCCTTTTGTAGCTCTGCACATTGGTGTCCCATCTCTAGAATAGTATCCTCGTTCTGATCTTTCAGATCTGCATGGCCTCTGTATTAGACGCATAAACGGAGACAAAGAATAACCTACGCAGTTTCTCTTTCTGGGTTGGCTAAACCGGGGAAAAAGCAAATATTAAAATAAATGAGAAAATGTTTTTGCAAGAGTACTATTGTAAGTGTATCCTGTGTTAAAAACAGGTTAAATCTGCAGCTGTATTAAAAATGTACACATACTTGGCTTTTAGTGGTAGAAAAGTTCCTCTCCCTATTTGAAATGCTGCCCAAATTCAGTGAATACGTAGATTAGATATTAGATTGATGAGTCCTGTTAGTTGCCAGCTGATTGGTCAGTGACATTGAATTGCTGATTGACAGCACCTGTGAGGAATGAGCCAGAAGGCAGTGTGTTGAGTGGTGTGGAGTATAAAAGCAGCTTCTTCAGTTTGCTCTAGCATGAGCCACTCTTTCCATCAACACACAGTCGAATTGTAAAATCCAGCATTTACAATTTCCTGCTTCAAAATGGGTATGGTTTTCACTTTGTGTTCTTGTATTTGCTGAGGGCTTGAGTGTATAGATCATGTTCAAATTAAGATTGAATCTCATAGGTATGTTTCTGATGTGTTCTCATTTGAATGTTGTTTTAGCATCCAAGAAAGTGTTGATTGTGTATGCACACCAGAGCTCTGGCTCGTTCAACTCTGCAGCCAAAGACGCTGCGGTGGAAGTTTTAACTGCTAAGGGCTGCACAGTAGAAGTATCTGACCTGTATGCCATGAAGTTTAAGGCCACTGCTACAGCTGAGGACATCACTGGTAAATACCTCACTGAAAAGAAATAGTTTAGCTTTGGTCTTCAGACTCGCAGTAAACATTTACTTTCCCTGCAGGAAAAGTTAAGAATGCAGATCACTTCTGTTACGGAGAGGAGACCAAACTGGCATGGGAGGCAGGAAAGCTTACTGCTGATATCACTGAAGAACAACACAAACTCACTGAGGCTGACCTCGTCATTTTTCAGGTAGAGCCAGAATGAAAATGTGTTATCCTTTTAAGCTATGCCTCTGTTATGAACTAACCTTAAGCCCTACTTCTCAGTTCCCCATGTACTGGTTCACTGTTCCTGCCATCATGAAGGGCTGGATGGACCGGGTGCTCACACTGGGCTTTGCCTTCACCCACGAGAAGCGCTACAGCCAGGGAATCTTCAAGGTAACAAAGCAAATCAAGAGGTTTGCCTTATTGTTAAGCTATCTCTCCTTGCTTACGGTATATCTTGTCTTTTTCCACAGGACAAGAAGGCCATGCTCTCCTTCACCACTGGGTCTCAGGAGTCCATGTTCAGTGCAAATGGCATTAATGGAGACATGAATGTCACTCTTTGGCCACTGCAGGTATTTTATTTAGATGAATGATTATCAAAAAGCTGTTCCAGAGGAAACATTTTTTTAGTGACTGCATCAACACTCATTTTATTTCCCTGTTTCCTCCAGAATGGCATCCTGCACTACTGTGGCTTCCAGGTTCTGGCTCCTCAGATCTTCTGGGCCCCGTCTCACGTTCCCTCTGAGGCACGCAGTACCATGCTGGAGAGCTGGCGCACACGCATGCAAGGCCTCCTGGGAGAAAACCCACTTGCTTTCACTCCCTTGGACTGCTTTGATGGGGAGAAGGGTTACCAGCTGAAGCCTGAGGTCCATGAGAAACATGCCGCCAAGGAGTTTGGACTGACTGTGGGGATCCACCTGGGCAAGGCCCTGCCACCCAACAACCAGATGAAAGCTGGAGTCTGAAGAGTGACTGACTGTTGTTTTTTATGATGATAAATAAAAGCTGGTTAATATGTTATGAATTTCTGTTGAATGCTTGGAAACTGTATTGTAGTTCAAATGGCTGGGGTTTGCATATACAATAAATGGAGCCAATAAATCAAGTAAAGGTCTTCCTGTACTTCTCAGCATTGTACATTTATTTATATAACACTGTAGTTTGATTCATTCAGCTTTGATGGAAATGCACACAAGATGTTGCTACGGCAACCGGTTGTATGCAATTTTCTTTAGGCTTACCAATGTTAAGTATTGTGACACAACGTCCTCAAACTCCTGTAGGGAAAGATTTCACTGATTGCTAAACTTGGAGCCAAGTTGACTATTCACGGAAGTTTCTCAAGTTAACTTCTGTGGTCAGGAGACTTGACAACATTAATCTGTAACACTTAATTTCTGTTAACCCTGTTATTTTTGATCTAATGCTCCCTTCACCAAATTACGTTTACGCTTTGATCTTGGTTTCCTATAACTTTCAAAATATTTATCTTCGTATAATGCCTTTTGTAGCTCTGCACATTTTTGTCCCATCTCTAGAATAGTATCCCTGTTCTGATCCTTCAGATCTGCAGGGCCTCTGTATTAAAAGACGCGTAAACGGAGATAAAGAAAAACCTACGCTGCGTCTCTTTCTGGGTTGGCTAAAATGGGGGGGAAAAAGCAAACATGAGTGTTTTTGCAAGAGTACTATTGTAAGTGTATCCTGTGTTAAAAAGTGGCTAATCTGCAGCTGGATTAAAAATGTACACATACTTGGCTTTTAGTGGTAGAAAAGTTCCTCTCCCTATTTGAAATGCTGCCCAAATTCAGTGAATAATACATGTAGATGATATACTAGATTGATGAGTCCTGGTAATCTAATAAGTAGTCCTGGTAATCTAATAAGAGTGCATTGATGTAGATACGTTGTGCCTCTTCACCTATACACTTTAGTTCTTACTCTTTCACTTAAATCCTAAAAACTTAGATCTTATATTTAAAACTTTATCCAAACCTCTACCCTCTATGACCTCTCGAGGTTTATTAGAGGGTAACAGGTGGCAGAGAACGCCTAGCCCGGCCGGGGAGTGTGGAACGTAGTCACTGACCCACTCCTACCTCTGACAAATTCAGGTTCCAATGGGGACCTTTTTCCCTGTGTGTGCCTCTCCACCTCTGTTTCCTACTTCTTACTTGCTACCCTTTTCCCTCAACCTATCCTAAGGGAGTGCATGTATGTAGACACGTTAGTTTAGCTGCTATAGGCTTGGACTGTTGAGGGGAGCACCTTACTCCGTCTTTCTGGCTGTTTGTACCTGTGTACTCTCATGTTCCGATTAACCCAGTTTCCCCCAAATCTCTTTTTTGTGTCCATATATACGCCGGGATCCTGAGTCGAGGCTAATCATGTTGCTGTGGTCGTGTGTCCTGGATCCTCTATCCTGAGCACTGGATCTGAGTCCTGGACTTCGAGTCGTGGCTGAACCTGTCTCTGCGGTCCTGCCAGACTCTCACCATACTACTTCACTGATGGCTCCCACAAGATTGCTGTGTTCCTCGTGGATTCATCTTCTTATTATAGACACATGCATTTCCAAACATTTGGACTACCTATGTTGTAAATGTATTATCTTTTCGATTTACATACGGCATCTATTGCACGTCTGTCCGTCCTGGGAGAGGGATCCCTCCTCTGCTGCTCTCCCTGAGGTTTCTCCCATTTTCCCTTTAAACTGTGGGGTTTTCTCTGGAAGTTTTTCCTTGTACGATGTGAGGGTCTAAGGACAGAGGGTGTCGTATTGTCATACTGATATTCTGTACAAACTGTGAAGACCACTGAGACAAATGTAACATTTGTAATATTGGGCTATATAAATAAACATTGATTGATTGATTGATGGTAGTTGCCAGCTGATTGGTCACTGACATTGATTGCTGATTGACATTCCCTGTGAGAAATTAGCCAGAAGGCAGTGTTTTGAGTGGTGTGGAGTATAAAAGCAGCTTCTTCAGTTTGCTCTAGCATGAGCCACTCTTTCCATCAACACACAGTCTAATTGTAAAATCCAGCATTTACAATTTCCTGCTTCAAAATGGGTATGGTTTTCACTTTGTGTTCTTGTATTTGCTGAGGGCTTGAGTGTATAGATCATGTTCAGATTAAGGTTGAATCTCATAGGTATGTTTCTGTTCTGATATGTTCTCATTTGAATGTTGTTTTAGCATCCAAGAAAGTGTTGATTGTGTATGCACACCAGAGCTCTGGCTCGTTCAACTCTGCAGCCAAAGACGCTGCGGTGGAAGTTTTAACTGCTAAGGGCTGCACAGTAGAAGTATCTGACCTGTATGCCATGAAGTTTAAGGCCACTGCTACAGCTGAGGACATCACTGGTAAATACCTCACTGAAAATAAATAGTTTAGCTTTGGTCTTCAGACTTGCAGCAAACATTTACTTTCCCTGCAGGAAAAGTTAAGAATGCAGATTACTTCTGTTACGGAGAGGAGACCAAACTGGCATGGGAGGCAGGAAAGCTTACTGCTGATATCACTGAAGAACAACGCAAACTCACTGAGGCTGACCTCGTCATTTTTCAGGTAGAGCCAGAATGAAAATGTGTTATTCTTTTTAGCCATGCCTCTGTTATGAACTAACCTTAAGCCCTACTTCTCAGTTCCCCATGTACTGGTTCACTGTTCCTGCCATCATGAAGGGCTGGATGGACCGGGTGCTCACATTGGGCTATGCCTTCACCCACGAGAAGCGCTACAGCCAGGGAATCTTCAAGGTAACGAAGCAAATCAAGAGATTTGCCTTATTGTTAAGCTATCTCTCCTTACTTACATCTGGTATTTTTCCACAGGACAAGAAGGCCATGCTCTCCTTTACCACTGGGTCTCAGGAGTCCATGTTCAGTGCAAATGGCATCAATGGAGACATGAATGTCACCCTTTGGCCACTGCAGGTATTTTATTAGGATGAATGATTATCATAAAGCTGTTCCAGAGGAAACATTTTTTTAGTGACTGCATCAATACTTATTTTATTTCCCTGTTTCCTCCAGAATGGTATCCTGCAGTACTGTGGCTTCCAGGTCCTGGCTCCTCAGATCTTCTGGGCCCCGTCTCACGTTCCCTCTGAGGCACGCGGTACCATGCTGGAGGACTGGCGCACACGCATGCAAGGCCTCCTGGGAGAAAACCCACTTGCTTTCACTCCCTTGGACTGCTTGAACGACATGATGTCCATCAAGCTCCTGTTGCGAAAGATTTTACTGATTGACACACACTAAACTTAGATCAAAGTTAACTATTCACTGAAGTTTCCTAACGTTGACCCTTTCAAGCTAAATAAATTATGTGGTCATGACCCTTGACAAAATGAATCAGTAACCCCTTTATTTAAACACTGTCCACCCTATGTGATTTTGACCTAATTCTCCCTTCGCCAAACTACTTTTATGCTTTGATCTTAGTTGCCTACAAATTTCAAAATATGCGTCTTCGTATAATGCCTTTCTAGCTCTGCACATTTTTGTCCCATCTCTAGAATAGTATCCTCATTCTGATCCTTCAGATCTGCCTGGCCTCTTGGGAGAAACGCCCCGCTCCTTCCCTCTTTATGGGGAGAATCGTTTCCAGCTGAAACTCATTTGAAACCTGTTGAACAAAGAATTTGCTCTGATAGTGGGAACTTGCACCTGGGGAAGCCATTCATGCCCCACAGATCAAAGCTGGAGGGTTGTGATGAGCGGTATTCTTTGTGGATCTGTAACAGGGATGCAACTTTTTTTTTATTGGGGAAGTTTTGACTTAAATGTTTGGGTGGGCTGAATTGTGTGCACTGTTTTGAACAAATCAATCGTCTCGCATGCTGTCTGGCTGAAGTGTTCTACCGTGTATACAGACATGCTGACGACCAAAGAAACTGCTTGCAAGCAGGTTTGGGCTCCACACAGACGCTTTTCCCAGAGAAGCAGCTTTTGTTTGGGTATGGAGGAAATGAGATGGGGGAGGGGCAGGGGGGCCACACTTGAGGAAATGGCATTGCACTCTGATGTCCAGAGCACAGCTTGTGACATGTAGGAACTCAACGGTGTGCATATTTCACAGCTGAGGTTTCCCAAGGTCAATGTTTGTTTGTGTGCAGTCAGGTCCAGTTTCATAATAACCTGTCTCTGCAGCCGGAACAATGTTAATTTCCTGATTTGGTTCTCACAAAACAGAAGACACTTTGAAATACTTATCCACACATGTACTAGTTGTATTGTGTTAAGACTTCTCAGCTAAACACTCACTTCCCACATAAAAAGGAGCCTTAGATGACAGAGCATTGTCATGGGTTGAGTGTTTAAAATGTGTGAATCATTATGCAATTAACTTAATCTGCATCAGTATGTCCCAACAGAAACATGGACAAATCCAAACATTTTCAGTCTCAAGCTTTTGGAGTTTTTTTCCTTTATATATGCATCATTGTCCGAGACAGAGAACCAAAAAGCTGTTGTTTGAATTGCTGGATTTGGGGGCATTGAGTGTTTGTGTATGTAAGAGTTATACCACAGTCTCTGTGTCCATCCTGCTTTTCCATTGTCTGTCCCAGTTCTCCCACACTGACTGCAGGGAAGGCCATTTTTGGCTGGTTCAATGGGAGGAAGTGGGCACCGTTTTGTACCAGATATGGAAGAGAGTCGCCGGAAATGTGCTGCTTGACTGGAAGCTCAAATACACACAATCATTCAGATAAAAAAGCAATGTAATGTTCAGAAGAAGGTTAAGTGAACCTGGAGATTTGTATTAGCACTGACCTTTAGCTTGTCTGAGTGCAAAGACTGGAAATGTGGATACAACTAGCCTGCTCTAACAAAATCTAATTAATGGTTACCGTACAGATAGAGTGGTATTGATTTTCTCATCCAAGCATCAATCTTTTCCACTTAGTGTCAAAGTGTTCCTGAAAGGCTTATTAAAAACTTTAAAATGTTCATGTGAGAAGTATATTCATAAAGATAGGATCGGTTAAGACTGATGCTGAGCCAGATGTGATTAATTGTTCTGAGTTGACTTTAGGGTGGTTTGATTAGGCCGTAAAAGGGTCTCTGTGTTTGCACCAGATGTCATAAGGTTAACTACAGGCCTGCCATTAAACACAATGACCCAAAACCGAGAGCAGAAAAAGAGAGGGAGAGAAAGCAAATTATTGTTCCCAACCATCCTCCCACTCTTTCAGAGGCTATATTAAAATCCAATTAATTATACCACCACGAAAACCACAGCATGTTGAACTTTGCCTGAGTGAGGGTGTGAGAGAGTGAGTCCATGTGTACATATACGTAATGAGAGTGAGGCACAGTTCAAGGCAGTTGAATTAAGATTGGCAGCAGGAAAGGTTTGTAATGAATAACTACACTATCGTTTCCCTTTTGAAGCTCTAACTGCCCCCTTTACCTTCGTACCACAGAGTGTCCATTGTATGTTCCCCATCATTTTGAAATGGAGGAATTCACTCTGACATCTGAGCACAATCATCCCCCAAATGAAACCAACACATTGCCTCTTAAATCAACGTATTCTTGCAGCAAATAAATATGTTTCCACAGTCTGTGTTAAAGACACAACTCTTTCCCTGACATTTTCTAAATAGTTTCACTTCAGGGAGTAACTTGCGTACCATTAGAACAACTGTTTCAGGTATTTTTATGGTTGTGTTTTTTCTCATAAATTCAGCATTTTAAACATTATCTTGAAAAATGTGCACAAAGATACATTTCTCAGGGCCCCTTTGTGATCACAACCTGAACAGCTGGTCAGATTAAATGATAAGAAACAGTGGACTAAAACAGCTGTGGAGGAACACAATCACAAATAGAGCCCAAGTACTCTTTATACAAAGTCCCAAAATGGAAATAAAAACATGGGTAAAAAAATAATAACAATCACTGCCTCCTTCCTCTTTTCATGAACCCCAGCAGGATGTGTCTTTCATGCTTTGCTCTTTTCATCCCCACCTCCATCCTTCTTTTGTGTTAGTCTTCTCCTCTCACCAGTGTGAAAATGCACAGGAAACTTTTACCACAATGGGACGTTTCACACATCTTTAGCTCATTAGGGATTTGAACGCTCACTGGAGGCACAGTTCTCTGGGGAAATTGACTTCTACCACATATAAGCAAACACTTTCACAAATCGTGATCCTGACATGCACTTCACTCAGTTCCCCTGGCAGTGATAGGGCCCAAGCCAGCCTGCACTGTGCAACTTTGAAACACTTACACGGAAGGCCTGCCACCATGGTTTTGATGAATGGATGGACATGACGCTATTGGCCTCCATTCAAGCTCTGATGTATGAAGTGCCTCGTACTGGGAAGCTGACGTGAGGCAGCAAAGCTGTTTCCTATTTACGAGCCGAGGCTTGAGTGTAGCTGGGAGGTTTCAGGGAAGGCTCTTGGTGGTTTGGGGCATCAGAGTGACAGGGTTAAGACTGAAGTCAGCCATTATACTCCCTTGCTAAATCCTTTTTCAATATTGTAATGAAAAGCAGATCTCTACTATCTGCACCACAGAGAGATGGGGGGAAATATCTCTGGTTCAATCTTCTTTTTGGATTTAGTTTCATGCATCTCCCTGCAATATTTTTCCCACTGTCACACCATCAGCATAAACAATGAATGACTACAAATGGCCTCATGTGTTTTTGTCTGTGATTAAGAGATGACAATGCAGCTCAGGGTTACAAATGACACTGTAAGGAAAGACTAGATGAATGGGAGTGCTCACGTGAAGCTCTAGGCGTACAGGACGCTCAGCTCCAGATGCTGCCTGGTTTGCCACATCCTGGCCGTAATCCCCCTGCAGTGCCGTCTTCACTTGTGTGCATGCGATTTGTGTGGAGACCAATGAATGGAAACCACCTGGGACAGATAAAAATGGCTTGAGGTCATTTTCCATCGCATGTTGCTCTAGTGATTTTGATCATTTTGTGCCGCAGGGTCATTTTTAAAGGACATGATATTTACAGCTATCACCATTTAGATATTTTTCCATTAAATCGAGACAGGCTTCATTCTGTAAGCATGTTTATCTAAATTGTTTATTCCATCATACTGTTTGAGTGCAGTAGAGTCTTTTTTATATCCAATAAAGGCTGCCGTGTTTGGTTTTCCTTCAGTACTCACGCTCTTACAAAACTTGACATTTATGTTTGTAAATTGAACGTCACTTTGTCTATGTTAAAACGGCCTGTTTACCACTAATGCAAAACATTTTAAAACGCGATTCAAACCATGAACTTGATCCCTGTGAAGGCTTTCTCTGAACAGCCATCGGCTAGCAAGGCAACACCTAAAGGTATTGTTGCCCGTGAAGCTATTCCTCCAAAACACTAGCGCATTCCAGCAGTGCTGAGGGTCCATTTTTCATACGTATAGCGTGACAGGACAATAGTGGTGAAAGTTAGCCACCTTATCTGTGAACTCCATGTCAACGGCATGGAAAGACTGTCTTGTGAAGCATACATCAGGACTGTCTGGATAGGATTACTAGATTAGAGCTACAGCCCCAAGGGAACACCTGAGACAGACACCTTGTCATGCAGCCTGTGGACAGATTATGTCATTTACTAATCCATAGTGGACACTGACTGTCCCCTGGAGCAAGACATTTCTTCAGCATGAGCATGATCCCAATGACCTGGCTCATACTAATGAACATGGTGTGTATTTGTAAGCAGGACGAGTGGGAGTGAACAGGAACCTGTGAGTGAGTAACTGCTGCGTGCAGAGATGATAGACATAGTCAATGGACTGTATGAGCCACAGCCGGTCATGGTCGACAGCCAAGCATGAATTCAATAATGGATTCAGAGAAGTCAAAGAAAGAGAAAGAGAAAGGAAGGAATAAATACAAAAATAGGTTAACAAAGCCCCCAGAGAAAGACTATGTAAAAGGCAAGATTATAAAGATCCATTAACAGCCTTTTTAGGCCATGCTAGTGATATAGCTTCAGGGATGTCAGTGTCCATCCACCAATTGTAGTCTGGGCTTCTTAAAATGCTATGACATTTGGTGGATTTCAAGGCTTTCAAAGTTTCCATATAATGAATCCTACTGAACTTGTTAATAAATGTTTACTCCAGTACCACCTTGAGGTTGACAGTTGTGGTTACCTGTGAAATATCTTGACAGCTGAAGTGACTTCTCTGAGCCACAGGCAGGACAAAGATTGATGAGACAAAACAAAATGACAAACAATGTAGCCTACTTACTTTGCTGATCCCACTAAGTTTGAGGTCGACTTTTTCGGTCTTTATTGAAAGACATTCATGTTGCCCAGAGGACATTGTGATAGCCTGACTCTTTATCAAGTTTTACCATCAGTGGACATGGTTAACTGTATACCTGCCTTACATCAACAAGCTAACATTATAATTGTGAGCATGTTAGCATTAAGCTCCAGTTCATTGCAACAAAGAAATCCCATTGCAGCCCAAAAATCCTCCATGGAGGTTTAGTATTTGTGAAACGTTCCTTGAGCCGAGAAAAGCAATCTTAAAATCTGTGATGTAACAACAATGTAAAGTGTATTGGCCCGAGCAGGAACTTGCAGGTGAGGCCAGGAGAGAAACACTGCTGCGCATATTCAGTGGTCCACGTAACTAGGACCTAAACCCAGAAGCTACAACACTATTTGGCCTCTGTGCTAGGTGAGCAATGCTAATCATCTTTGAGTCTGGTATCCAGTTCTTATAATACATCCATGACTCGTCTTCATTGTGTTTAATAACAAAGGACCATTGCAATACAAAGGTTTTGCAGATCTCTGAAAAGCATTATGCTACCTACCGAACACCAAATGGCAGACAAACAGTTAGCATCTAACTGATGAACTTTGTGCAGCAGTTGGCAGCTACACAGTTGTATATTCGTACAGCAGTTGGTAGAGCAAACAATGCAAAACTAAAAGGAGAGTAAATATTTGACGCCAGATGGCTAGAAAACCAACTCCAAATGAATGCTAATGTTGCTCTGTGGCTGCTGGAAGTGTAGCAAAGTTCACTAAATCAATTTAAAAGAGTCGCTTTACCGCACCGTTGTGACGAAAAGGGAGCTGAGCCAGAAGGCAAAGCTCTCTGTCTACCGGGCCATTTTCGTTCCTACCCTCAACTATGGTCATGAAGGATGGGTCATGACCGAAAGAAC